ATCGGAAACAGGCTCCAGGCTCTGAGCCATCAGCCCAGAGCCCGACGTGGGGCTCGAACTCACGGACCGCGAGATCGTGACCTGGCTGAAGTCGGACGCTTAACCGACTGCGCCACCCAGGCGCCCCGTGGGGGGATATTCTGTGCACAGAAGGATATAAAGCAGCATCCCTGGCCTCTGCCAACTGGATGCCAGTAACACCTCCCTAGCTGTGACAACTAAAAATGTCTCTATCCATTGCCACACATCTCTTGGGGAGCAAGATCACCCCCTGGGTTTAGAACTACTGTGCAGGGTGAAAGAAAAGTTTTTAAAAGTTACTGTTTGGATGCCTGGCTGGCTCAGTCAGTAGAACATAGGACCCCGGATCTGGGTGTTGTGGGGTTGTGAGTTTCAAGCCCCACGCTGGGTATAGCGATTACTTCAAAATAAAATCTTAAAAAAAAGAGTTACTTTTCAATGTTGCCATCATGTTTGTTCAGTATATACATTTTGGAAGGGAAAGGTAAACCCCTTGCGATATAGCATCTAACACTCTTTTTCAAAAGTTAGAACTTATCCATTAAATGTGAACAACTGAAAAAGTTTCTGACATTTTCTGCGCCCCCCCCCCCCCCCCATCTATTATAGAAGAGAAAGCTGAACTTCTCAGTGTTTGGAAACTTGACCTGGCTGTAAGTATGAGATATCATAAATAAGTGTCATAATTTAATTGACCTGAGAAATAAAAATATCCAAATCATTCTGGCTCCCAAATACCCTCTCAAAGTGTACACTTTGCATATATTCAAAATGGTTTACATTTAAATCCGAATACTGAGAAAGAAATAGTAAGACTCAACAAGGAACACATACTTTAAGACAATTTAAATAAAGTTTTCCAACTAAAAGGAAATTGCACTGGCTCTAAATGAAACTCTATTTTTAAGGTCCTATGTTCCAGTCTTTTAAGGACCACTAAGAGTGCTCCTTTGCCAAAAATATTTATTTTCAACCACTCCTCGTCATTTCTGTTTCTTGGCTCACATAGCAAAGAACGCCTTCTAGTTAAGAAACTGACATGAAGAGAAGGCACAAGAGATGCTGTTTCAAGCATCTCCTCTCCAGAAAATTCTATCGTATCAAGGCATTGAATTCATATGGGCTTATGAAAGTTGAAATCCTGTTACATGATCATCCTGAATGATCTTTTCACATGCATGAAAGAATCGTGTATACCTAACATAGTATTCACTTGAGCCAGGAACAATCTTCTTTCTTTATATAAGCCTGGGACCGGCCTAAAAATGCATTTTGGTTGTATTCCCCTCCACTTTCAAAACACACTAGGCTTGTAGAAATTTACTGTTTGTATTTACCAATGTGCGCTTCTCCATGTTAGTCTCTAGTTTACCCAAGACAGGAAGCTTGCCACAGTGCAGAGAAACAGAGAAAATCTTCCAAATGATCCCAGAGCTGCAGAATGTGGAATACTTAGCTACCCAAAGCATTGTAGTAGGAAAGCAGAGGGAGGTGGTCTATAGATGGCAGAGGTGGTGGAGACAAATGGACATTCAGTGACGCGCAGCGTGGACAAGAAAGGGTGAAAATGGCTGTGGAATGAGCAGGATGAGAAAACTGGCACTCTGGGTGATGAGAGAAATGGATGAGGTTGTAGCTGGAAAGGCAGAAAGTAACTGACTTGATGACGTCTGATGCTGAAGATACAAAAGGCCTCCAGAGCTTCATCGGGAATTAAGGTTCCGCATGATGAACCTAAGGCGAAAAGGCAGAAAACAGCCTACAACCAGGGGAAGCCGTGGCTCCGAGGACTTCGTCCGGGCCGGGACCTTCAGGCGCGGTTGGCGGTGCAGGGCCGAGTCTTCGCCTGGGCGGTGGGAAAAGGAACGCCCGCCTAGCTGACTGACGGGGTTCCAAGCTCTCTCTCAGCAAGACAGGCAGCCTAAACCTAAAGGCCTGGGGCGGCTGGGTCCCAGGAGACGGGCGAGCCCTTCTTCAGGCGGTTTCACTCCAGCCCGCGACTACAAAGGCAGAGCTACGACAGGCTCTCCTGTTTCAGGCCATAGTGGGGAGACGAACGGGAAAGACGTAGAATGCCGAAAAGGGACGGGGAGTAGGCGCTTTCCTCCTCGGGGCTGAAGCGGGAACAGGGGGAACCTCAGGAACCAGGTCGGAAATTGTCTTTTGGAGAGTCCCGAGTCGCACGGCTCCTCCACCGCTGCTCCGCTGCCAGCCGCAGGTGCCTTCTCAGGCCGGAGCGTCATAGCAACCGCGCTGGCCGCAGGGACGCCAAGGCATCCTTCCGGCGGGAGCCATAGAAACGACGCGCACCATTGGCTCAGGGGCTGCTCTTCCTGTGGAGACAGTGCACACCATTGGCTTTTGGGTCGTGGGGCGGGTTTTTTTGGCAGGATTGAAGGTACGGCTCATTCCGTTGGCTTTGCAGTAACCATGGTCACAACCGGGCGCACGCTTGCTACTTCGGGGATACATTTTGTTAGCGGGCATTTATAACTATCAAATAGCTTTCCGCCTGGCCTTATCTAAAGACCGGGCCTAATGGTTTTATTTTTTTCTAGAAGTAACTTCATTCTTAAAAGGGAGAGGGTAAGGCGTTCTGAGTTTTAAGCCTAGATCCGTCACTACCTGGGGCGCCTAAGACAAATCACATTTTTGGACCCGTCTTTATTACTGTAAAACATGAATAAACCGGACTTGAATAGAATTGTCCCTGACACAGAGCTCTTTAGAAGTTCTAAGCACCAAAGACCCCCCCCCCCCCCCCCCCCCCCCCCCCGGGGGGGGGGGGCGGAAGAAGAGGAGGAGGAGGGGAAGGAGAAGTCCCAAGCACTGAAAATTCAGTTTGGATGAACCCTTCCTTCCTCCACCTATGTCATGCAAAATAATTTCTAAGTGACAATTTGACAGAGGCTTGGTTTATATCATCTTCATTTAAATGCTCTTATTGCAAGATTCTAGTTCTTCAAAGCTTGATTTGACTCCTGTTTTGGGGGCCCTTGCTTTGCTGATATCCCACACAGGTACATTTCAGTCTTATTCTAGTTCCACATAGGATCCTTTCCAAAGCTTGGCCAGTTGTCTGGACAGATCTTATCCCTTACTTTCTGTAAGTGCTTCAACCATTTCCTCGTGCAAGAGCCCTGCAAGTGTTTTTACTCTGATCTAAAATGCTCACCACCATCACTTCCGGCCCACTTAACTCCTACTTATCAGTTCAAGTGTCACTTCCTCCAAACAATCCTTGGTCATCCAATCTAGATCAAGTGCCTTCTCATTCGCTCTCATTGACTCATGTTCCTTTTCATTATTTCTTCCCTTGCACACTCCTATTTGCTGTTAAAGAAACAAACAAAAAATCTCTTGGAATATTAACGTGTGAATACTGTTTAAGTGCTCCAAATGAAAATTAAACTGAATTGGGAAACACTTTAAATAATTGCATGTAGGGAAGTGGCGTTTATTTAAGCATAACAAAACAGGATAGGAAATGGTTCTCCAGGGAAGTAATAATTATGGCAGAAACAAACATTAGGATCTCTTCTAGTTTTCACTCCATTTGCTCTTATTGGACATTCCAACATCATAATGACAGTCATCATTCACATAAAGCTATAGATGTAGGGAAGAAAATCAATCTTTTGCTTCCTATCCCTTCAGTACTGCAGCCACTGCTGACAGAGCTTGTTGTCTTTGAGGTTTTGCTAATTGGACCTTAAGTTAATTTAAAATTTTTGTTCAATGAAACTGCTGCTTACAGAATAGTCCTGATTGCTGCAGTTATTTTTCCTCTGCTCAAAGAGTCACATCTCCTGACTTACTGATTTATTTCAATGCATTTCAGCACCTCTACTCAAATCTTTTCAACTAAAATTGTGCCTGTCATTAGACACAAGGGGGTACCCTTCCCAACTCCATGAAATAGCACTAATTATATTTTATTTTGTTAAAAGTTTGAGAGAGAGAGTCATCGCGAGTGGGGGACAGGGAGAGAGACAGAGACAGGGAATCCCAAGCAGGCTCTGTGCTGCCAGTGCAGAACCCGATTCCAGGCTTGAACTCATGAAACCGCGAGATCATGACCTGAACCGAAACCAAGAAGTAGATGCTTAACCTACCGAGCGACCAGGTGCTCCACTAACAGCATTTTAAATCAAATATGTATAACTCCTATTTCTATCTACTTATTAATGGTAGTTTTTCAATATGCACTCTGGATCATCCTACAGATCATTAGGGGATTTTTCTGAACCACACTTCTTGTGCACTCCCAACCCAAAGCTCAGGACAGTGAAAGTTGCTTTGAAATCTTAAGAATTCAGGGACCAAGCGAGGCATCAGAATAATACTGCCACCACCAGAAAATACACCAGAAAATTTAAGCACAGGTGAAAAATCTACATGCCAGGAACCAGACTAATGCTTTATCTTCGCTGTTTTATCTAATCCTCACCACAAAGGGCATTACTTAGCAGAGAGATTTATTATCTCTGGTTTATAAATGAGGAGCCTGAGAGTAAGTTAAGGGTGTAAGCTTACAAAGGTCACAGGTGACACAGCTGGAACCATCAAACTTAGGCTGACTCCAAAGCCCATACTCCTTACCACATTGTAAAGCTTCCCTCAAGGCAGAAGTCACTAATAGGTCCCTGCCTGGCCCCGGGGTAGAAGCCAAAGTTAAATTTCCCCTAAGAGCAGTTCTAAAATATTTGAAAGGCAAACTGTTATCTCAAATAGAGTCAATCTAGAAAAAGGAGCAAAAAGTAAATGTAGGGGGAAGCACATCATTCTACAGGGAATCTATCCCAAGGGAAGTGTCCTTCTCTCCTACTCCCATCTTTGATAAAAACAACATCATTTCCATTGTGTTGGCTTTTGGGCACATACTTTATTGCACTGTATTATTCATACATCCATTTCCCAAACAGAGACATATTTATTCATCTTTTTAATCTTCATAATCCTCAGGACCTACCACATAGTAGGCATCAAGAAATATTTGATCTTCAAGGCATGGCCATTCATGCATCCCTAATCCTTCTCATAGTATGAAGAAGGTTGATATTCAGGCCTCACATGTATATGCTGAGGCATGTAATTCCCAATGAGCTCTTTTTCTAAAGGTGAGCAACAGTTTGTGTTCATTTTCAAAATCCAGATGATAATCAGGTGAGTGTGTCAGGTGGTTTGGTCGTAACTGCTTTGCTCTTGTTTTCATTTTATGGAGTATGAAATGACCTTTAAAAGACAAATACCAAACTATATTCACCTGCATACCACTCACTGCTTTCTCCCTTCATTTTCTCTGTCTTTATGAAAGCAAAGGGTTTATTTTCACCACTTGTAAGAGCCCTGATCCACTGAACAAGCTTTGATCCTACAAAGGCTTTTCACTTCAGTTTTTGTCATGTATAAAAGCCGTGTGTCGAGACTGAAGATCATCCACTATCTTGTCTTCTATATCTACACCTTTCTCTACTTCTTCCTCTGATAGCAATATCTTGGTTTCTGAGTCTTTGGTTAGAATAACCACAAAGGACCGTCGTGACTCAATGCTATTAGCTATCACCACTTGATGTCGATAAACTTCCAAAGCATTCCGTGCACGATCAAGTATGATGGAAGGGTCAGTCTCCAACTTAAAGGAAATTATAAATGCTTTGGGAGCCCAGTCTTTAACCAAAGGAGAAAGCATTTTTGGCACCATCTTCATTGTTATCTGTATTGGAAAAAGAAAAGCTTAATAAGCAAACAAAGCTCAGTATCTACCAGGTCAATCTCATGGGAAACTAAGGAAGCAAGGACTCAGATTTTTGGCTAAGTCAGTTTAAGTGGTATTTCTCATTGTCAAACTTTTCAAAGCATTTATACATGCTTGGCTTAAAAGCCTTGGTTCTAGAGGGTTCATAAAGATACCTAATTCCAAGGCTTTATACAAATCCTGGGACAAGCCATGAATTAACCTTGCCCTACCACCCTCATTACCATTAACAGAGCTCTAGAAAAAGAGCATTATATTTTATTAAACATTCCCCTCATTTTACCAAACACTCAAATAAACAAACGCAAATAATCTGTTCATGCAAATCTATAACCCAAATGTAACTTTGGCAGAAATTTAATTAAAGTTGGGTTTTTAAACCTCTGCCTAAAATATTTCTTGCACCGGTAGAACGGCTATTTGACTCCACTTAAACACTGTCACTCGTAACACATCTTAGCGCTGAAGAAACAGAACTGATTTTTATTTTCATTTGATCAAAACTCCCACTATGCCATTCTTGATCCCTTCTAAGAATGTTGAGTCGGTTTGTGTATTTTCAAGGAAGAACCGAAAAATACAGGATACACCAAAGCTCCCAGATTTTTAAAAGTGTGAATTTACTACGATAATTATCAGGATTTCCCCCTCAGAAAGTTAGCATAGGGATTATACATACATTCCCCACTTAATTTTTCTGCTTAGCATTTTCCACTATCTAACATAGTATGCATTTGGCTTATTTATGGTCTCCTCGGCAAAGGAGAAGCAACACAGGGGCACAGTGTATTTCTTTACACTGCTTTATCTCCAAGTCCTGCTACAGTATTTGGCATATAGAGGGTACTCAATAAATTATTTGTTGAACAAATGAACAGCAAGTGCCCCACAGGCAGAGTTTCTCCTTTTAAATTCTGCTTGTGTCATAAATGATTAAGAATTCTCTCAGGTTCCAAGAAGCCAGATCATCTCAACATCTGAACCACACCACTAGCCACCCCATACCCCTTCCTCAAACTACAGCCACCATGGTTATCTTACACCCACCGCTCTCTCTCTAATTTACCTTTCCTATTGATGCCAGAATGTTCTTTTCAAACAAGAATTTTTGTCTCATTCTCCTACTTGTTTTCCTTAGCTCCACAGGATAAAGTTCCTTAAGAGGGAATACAAAATCTTCTGCGAAGTAAGCTCTCTTCAGTCTCCCCACCCCCTGCCCAGCTCCCCACTCTCCCTGCTCTCCACCCTTACCAAAGAATTTCAGTTCACCGCACACTGCTCATTTCCAAACTTCAATCTGTACTCAATCTGTAATGACCTTCCCTACTTTGTCTGGTGTACTCTCTACTCATCTTTTAAAACCCAGTTATGTCATCTCTTCCAGGAAGCCTTCCTTGACTTCCCCAAGATTCACTCACCCCATGCTCTGACTTCACTTTGTACGTACCTCTACTAGAGCATTTATCACTCTGTACTGTAATTATGTCTGTGTCCAGCTCCCTCACTAGAGTGTGAGGTTCTTGAGGGAGGGCGGTGTCTTATTCATCTCTGTATCCCTAGTGCCTAGCACATACGGAATGCAGAAAGGCCATCTCCAGATCAAGAGGGAATTAACCCAAGATTGATTATAGGGGGATCAGATCTCTGGAAGAGAAGCGCCTGTCACCTGCAGTGGGCCCCCAGATGACTGGATCTTGTGTTCAGGCATTTCTGAGACAGGAACATAGAAATCTGACACGGCCGCAGCCAGGTAAAACATCGCAGAAGAGCCTGCAGAGAGAAGCACAGGGTGTAATAAATCGGAGTGGGATATGGGATCGGGTCCTTTTCAACTCAGGCTCCCTTGGCTGTGAGACCGCGGATAATGAAAAGGTGAGGGGAAAAGTGTCTGGGGGAGAAAGGCTCTGCCTGCAGGAAACCTTGGACGCCTAGAGCACGCACCCAGCGGATTGAGCGCCTGGGCCGCAGCCTGCAGCAGATGCAAATAGTCCGCCAAAGTGGAGAACTCCACGGCAAGGAAGGTGCCGGCAGCCGCAGCCTCCTGGTAGCTCCGCAGAGCGGCCGCGAAGCCCGGAAGTGCATTCTCCTCGGCCTCCAGGCTCAGCAAGCCCGAAGGGGTTGAGCCGCTGGGCCGCAACGCCGACAACCAGGTCTGGGGCGGGAAGCGGTGGGCAAAAGGGAACGCGGAGCGAGCGCGGTACAGGAACAGGACCCCGTAGCCCGCGGCCAGGAAGGCCTCGGCCGAGGTGGCACCGCGCCGCCCGCTGCTGAAGTTGTCCAGGAAGCGCACTGGTCGGGCTTCCAGGGGGACCTTGGTGCCGCCGGACGTGATCAACACCACCCGCCGGCCCTGCGCGCCCAGCCTGGCGGCGAAGCGAGCCATAACCTCGGCGTAGCGCGCAGCTCCCGCAGGCTTGGGGAACTCGGCGACCAGGTCCACTTCCGCCATCAGTCCCTGGGCGCGCCCCACACTGGCGCACACTCTACCGCCACCGGCGCCGCGCCCCAGCCCGGCTCCAGGTCCCCGCGCAGCCGCAATAGCGAGGGGGCGGACCTTTACCTTACGCCGCACGCCGGCGCCAGCCTTCTCCGCGTCGGGGGAGGCGTGCCGGTTTCGACCCACAGCGCGGCAGAGGTGACCCTGAGCTAGCGGGACTTGTGGGCGGGCAGGCATCTGGAAGAGTCACATCCCCTCATGTTAGTTTCCTCCTCCGGTAACGAACTGTCCGTGTTTGCCTCAAACCGGCCACCGTATAGGCCTTCCTGGACTTTGATTCCACTAGAGTCAGATTGCCCGGCCATTTAACCTTCGGGACTTAACGGGGGGGAGTTTTGTGGTTTTTTTTTTTTTTTTTAATTATTATTATTTTTTAACCCCACAAATACACTCTAGATGTCAGTGGAACTGCGCTTCTCCCCCCTGAGCTTGAATTCTTGGGAACGAGGCTGCCCGGTAGTGGTCACGTGACGCCGGCGTCCGGCGTGTCCTCTCCAGGCAACCGTTCTGGGGACCGAAGACGCCGCTGGCTGCAACATGGACATCATCTGCCCGCTGGCGGTGCCCAAGGGGCGCCGGCTCTGCTGCGAAGTGTGCGAAGCCCCGGCCGAGCGCGTGTGCACGGCCTGCACGGTCACTTATTACTGGTAGGCCCTGAAATGTGGCACGTGGGCCCCTCAACTCCCTCCCTCTCTCCCCATTACAGGTCTGGGTGCCCTGCGTAAGCCGTAGCACCATCTCTGCCAGGGAACACTCAAGGCGGTTTCAAGACAGGTCCCCAAGACTTCTGTGTGTGCCTCTTCTCCCACTCATTCATTCGTCACCAGATGTTTTGTTGACTGCCTGCTGTGCGCAATGCACTGTTCTAGAAGCTGAAGTTACTAGTGGAAACTTGGTGGACTGTGTCCCTCAAAGATCTAACATACTAATGCGGAAGATAGATAAACAAAAAGAAAACCAGATAATTTCAGAGAGTCATAAATGCCATAAAGACAAAGGAAATGTGATGGGAAGTAGGGCAGACAGCCTCTTGGAGGGTAGATACTGATGTGAACATAAAGTAGGAGCAGTCCACCGTGGAAATGCTGGGCTCTGAGGGTGTAAAGACTGTGGTGTGTTTGAGAAATAGAAACCAGGCCAGTTTGTCTGGTGCACAGCCAAGACGGTGAGAGTGTGGGGAGGGTAGTAGAAAATGAGATGAGATTTCATTCGTTCAACATAACATCCCCTGATCTTTGCTTCCAGTTAGACCTATGTTGGACGTGAGATAAAACTGCTAGGTGGCAGATGGCCAGAAACCTAGTCCAGCAAACTAACTTGTTTTAAAAAGTCATTATAATAGACTCAGCATGACAAGTACTGTCACTCAAGGTGCGCTGTTTCCTGGGACCTCTAAGGATGGAAGCCTTGTGGCTGGGGGCAGTATCTGGAAAGGTTTCTCTGAGTAAATAATGTTTGCGATGACCCTTGAAAGGTCAGTAGGAAATTGCTAGGTGAATGAACAATGAAGACAGAAGGGCAGGGTACTCCCGGCATCCAGGTCTACTTGGGTAAAAGCTGAAAGAACAGAGTTTATTCAGAGCCGGGTAGAGAAGGTAGTGGAGGAAGCAGTTGCTGATTTTCACATTGCAGACTAGACCCATTAGCAGATCATAGATAAATCACAACCAGCATTTTAAGGAAAATGCACTTTTTTAAGGAAGAAAGTAGAATAACATAGAAAGTATCAGAGTAACCCTACTTGAATTGTTTCTTGAAAATTTTTAGCATTTTATGTGGATATGTGTGTTTGTAATGGTAAAATGTATTTCTTACTAAAAAGAACATTTAAAAATGATTGTGGTAGGTAGTAGTAGGAGTTTAAACCAAGAAGATACAGGTTAGGGCCAGATGGTGACATGAGATGGAGAAGTTTGGAATTTATCCTCTGGGATGTCATGGATCGTTTTGACGGGCTCTCCCTTGTGTTAAGGAAGGATGACAGTAGCAGTGTGGAAGATAAATTGGAAGGTAGACCCTGGAGGCCGCATCACTGATTAAGAAGTTGTTGCAGTTGGGGCGCCTGGGTGGCTCAGTCATTTAAGCATCTAACTTCAGCTCAGGTCATGATCTTGCAGTCAGTGAGTTTGAGCCCCTCATTGGGCTCTTTGCTGACAGTTCAGAGCCTGGAGCCTGCTTCGGATTCTGTTTCTCTCTCTCTCTGTCTCTCTGCCCCTTCCCTGCTCACACTCTGTCTCTCAAAAAGGAATAAATGTTAAAAAAAAAAAAAAAAAAAGAAGAAGAAGAAGTTGTTGCAGTGATCCTAGTAGAAAGTGAATCTACCTCTCTCAGACTGAATTAGGTGTTCCTCCTCAGTGCTCTCGCAGCACTCTATATGTTTCCTCGCCTAAAATTTAGGACACAGATTGACATCAGTTGTTTAATAGTCCATATTCCTCACTAGGTCTGTATATCCCACGAAGGAAGGGACGGCATCTGTGTTTTTCTTGCAGTGTCTTCATTGCCTTTAGAATACAATTCAGGATTTGTAGCAAAAACTACAAAGCCCTGGTCATTTCTCTACCTTCATTTCCCACTACACTCACCCTCTCTTCTCCTTGATGTAGTTACCGAGGTTTTCTTCAGGTCTAGTTTGCCAAGTCCTTTCCTCCCTCAGTTTCTTTGCCTGGACTGTTTTCTCTACTAGGAACGTCCTCTTCAGCCACAAGCTCCCTCTCATCCTTCAGTGCTCAGGAATGTTATTTCTTCAAAGAGGTCTTTCTGGAAGTACTCCTCTCTGAGTTTTCTCGCTCACCTTTTTCTTCGTTTTTCCTGTACTTCTGTATTTTGTGTTTACTTGTTTAGTATCTGTGTCTCTTACTAAACCTACTGGCTGCACATACCGCACACTCAGTGATCATTTGTTGAATAAGCGAGCTTCTGAGTGGATAGTAAACCTATTAACACAGAAGGAGGTGGTGGGGGGTGACAGATTGGGTAGGGGATACACAGTTTGAGGGCCTTCAGGTCCCTTGGGAGAGATGGCTAGTAAACCACTTCAAGTACAGGCCTGGCACTCAGGGGAGAGAGGAGAGCCTCTACCTGATATGAGCATCTACTTCTTTCCGTCTTGCCTTCATCCCTGCAGCCAGAAGTAATTCCTTCTTCCTCTCAACTCACTTTGTCGTCACTCTCTACTCTCAGATGACTCTTACTTCCCTTCTTCATTTTAGTTGTTGACACGTGTGCTATCTCAATTTTATTATGTTCCATTAATGCAGGATATTATGTTGAATATGTGTAGAAGGACTATCCTGCAAATGCTGTCTTTTGATCTGTGTCAAACCCATCTGTATATACCTTACAGTCTCTTGCAGAGTGTCGTGAAACAGTCAGAACTAAATATGTGATGAATGCATGAATAAGTTATTATTTCCTATGCCCCTATCCACCATTAGTTCCTTTCTCTTCTTTCACTGCCTTTAATTCTCTTTAAGGTGTTCTCCTCTCCCCTCCACCTTCTTTTCTTCAGATTTCTCTATGCTTGTGTCCTGGGGATTTTAAGATTTTTCCATAAAATAAAGCTGAGTTAATTGTTCTGCATCTCAGAAATGGGGGCTTTAATACTCCTCCCTCACCAGGTTTTGTGGTTGAGTGCAAAGCATGTAGCATCGTGCCTGAAACCAAACTGACACTCAGTAAATATTCTTTTCCTTCATTCCAAATTTAAGGAGCCAGAAGGACAGTAAACTTGAATTTGTGAAAGTTTTTTTTTCCTCTTTTTTTGCAAAAGAGTTTTTTTCTTTTAAAATGTTTTAAAATGTTTATTTATTTTTGAGAGAGTGAGAGACAGAGGGTGATCAGGGGAGGGGCAGAGACAGCCGGAGACACAGAACTGGAAGCAGGCTCCAGGCTTTGAGCTGTCAGCGCAAAGCCCGATGCAGGGCTTGAACTCATGAACTGTGAGATCATGACCTGAGCCGAAGTTGGATGCTCAACTGACTGAGCCACCCAGGCACCCCAAAAGATTTTTTTCCCTAATTATTAATGTAACTCATGCTTACTATAGAGAATTTGAAAATATAAAAAATAAAGAAGAAAAATAATCTATAATCTCACAATTTAGAGATTAATAGTCTGATATTTTGGTCAACTTCTTTATACTCTTTTCCTATAAACACATCTGTTTTATACACTCTGTTAATCTTGCACATATTGTTCTATATTGGATTATGAGAATATAGCCAGGAAACAGAACATTTGTAAGAAAAGGCAATTTTATTAAAGTACACACTGAAACATTACAGAAAGTTACAAGAGGCTTTAGTACTGTAAGTTAACAAATCATTGCATATAGATAAGAGTGATTTGCAGTAAGTTTTATTTAACATGTGGGGCACAAATTAAAATGTTTTCACTGATCAGGAAAAGAAAACGAATAGTGAAGTGGCATTCAATAGTAGGAGACAGTATGATCTGTGGTAAACTGCAGAATGAGTGTCCTGCCTAATGTCTTCCAAATTTAGTCTAAAAAACATGGTAATGGTTGGGGGGCTGGGATGGCTTCATCGGTTAAGTGTTCAACTCTTAGATTCAGTTCAGGTCACGATCTCATGGTTTGGTGAATTCAAGCCTCACATTGGGCTCTGTGCTGACAGCGTGGAGCCTGCTTGGGATTCTCTCTCTCCCTCTCTCTCTCTCTGCCCCTCCCCTACTCATGCTGTCTCTGTCTCTCTTAAATAAATAAACTTAAAAAAAATTAAACAAACTTATTAAAACACAAAACAACACATGATATTGGCCAAAAAATGTCTAGCTCACAGGCTACTTGATTGTGAGCCCTGATTGAAAATATATTTTCAACTCCTTTATGCATGACTCTGTGCTGGGTATTAGGGATTAGACAGATGAGTAAGAAAAAGAACTCATGAATATATAAATAATGCTCATTTTATTTGGAAAGGCTAGATATGTCAAATGCTCTCAGTGGAACAAAAATTCATGCAGCTAAGTAAATTAATATTTCCATTGCTCACACGATTATTCAAAAAGTCCCTAT